GATCTTGATTGAAGGCCGATTTTTACAAACATTCCCCAATATGTTAGCACAAGCAAAGAATTTTTTTAAACATTAAGATTTTCCTTCAATATCCCAGCAAAAGGGTGGACATTAAAAATATATGTTTTTCGATCCTACCACAAGCGTAAACTTTTTAGAAAATAAGTTTTCAAGGTCCTACCACAAGCTCAGGCTTTCAAACATAATAATGTCCCAGGACTCGGATTAGCATTACCTAGCGTGGATTTTTTTAAAATAAATTTGTCAAAATATCACAAGCATGGAGTCCACGGTGAAAATGAAATACAAAATGGTGAATTTAAGGTACAGGGGATGGCGCCTGTTGTGAAAGGTTAGGCCTTGAGCATATCTACAAGTTGGATATCAACTGTAGTATTTTCAAATCTGAAATCTTAGCGTTTTGGAAGACAGCTGAATTGATAAAAAGACTGGATGCAGATATCGTTGAACCAGTGACTATTTTTGTGGATAGTCAGACGGAACTTAAAGCCATCAAATCCTGTAACGTCGAATCTGAGGTCAAATCTGTACTGGCTACCTGGACATTGTGACATCATGGGTAATGAAAAATCAGATGAACTAGCTAGATCTACAGAAGTAGCAATCGATAACTCAATCAAACCACCCATTTGTCACCTTTTCCGGAATTTTGATGCGTTATTTGACGAACTTGCCAATGAACTTTGGCAAAATGAACCTAGGTGTAATGTGTCAAGATATATCTGGCCGACTCTGTCAGCCAAAATAACAAACTCACTGTTGAAGCTGAGCAAAGTTGAAATTTTAGTAATATCGGGACATTTACCATGATGTTACTGATAATTGCAGACTCTGTGACGACGAGGAGGAGACGGAGACAATTGAACATATCCATTGTCGCTGTCCAGTTCTGGCTACAGACAGCACAGATTAGTGGTTGTTCACTTTCCACCGTGTCTAAGCTTCTTTTAACTATGGAACCAGATTTAATCTACATAATCATCAGAAACCTGAAGTGGTTGGGACAGTGCAACCTGAGCACCATCGACACTATTTATTACCTAATTCCTTTTTTAGGTTTTTGTCTTCTCTACCGCTACAGATCTATCCGGTCCATTTTGATCACCCAAGAAGAGATATTCTTGGGTGATCTCAATGGACCGGGCGGCCTCCGCCATCGCCAAACTTAACCTAACCTATATATTGAAAATTAGATATATCGCTCCAGTTTATATAACCCTCATATTACGGTACCCCAATTATTTGCTATTTTGGGGATTTTTTCGTTTTTTCACCGAATTAGCTGCAATTTCGTTATTTTGGGTTCTCATTGGGAAACACGACCTCTTTCAAAAAATTATCAATATTGTACCACTTTTTACCATAGCCCCCATATGACGATTTTTTCGAAATTCCGGTATTTTAGGGGAGCAAATAAAACTTTTAGATTATTTTAATTCTAACTAGAATGATAGGCTATGTTTATGTACCACGAATGTGCCCCATGAAATGCCACAGCTACACCTGCTAGGGGCACATTCGGCGAATATGACTTTTTTACAAACTTACAAGTGTTTATCATTCAGTATCAGTGAACAATAGTCAGCTACAAAATGTTAATATCTGTTGAATAAATACTAAGATATAGAGCTCTTAACAAAAATAAAAATAAAGTGCCAAACCTGCCACAGTCTCCCCTACATATAGATCGATAAATCGGCAGAACATATTATTCTGATTTGGAATACTTAAAATTAAATCCAGTTGTAGTGCAATATTTTATGTGATTGACGACGTCTTCCAAAAGATCAAAACAGTGAAATATACATATCAGGTTAAATTTACCTTTTACGAAGCAGAACGTATCTGTAGATTTAATACATGCCATATATAACTGTGAGATTGAGTACTATATTTTTTTCCACTGACGCATCAGTCGGACGTGAGACCACAGGGTGTGGTGTATACAATATTTCCAACAAAGACAACTTCCTCTTCATATTGGACATTAAGTCCTCGTTCATGTTCGGCCAGTTTTATGCTATTAAAAAGGCGCTTGAAATTTCGGCGGAGCATGCTTAAGGCTCTTGGCTCCGGACTCCGAGTCACAATGCAGTTGTCGATTTTCTGACGAATCCAGCGGTGGATGTAGGAACACTCATTGTGACGTATACGACCTCTAAGGAGGCGAAAAAAACAGATAGAATGGCAAATTATTTTTTCAATTCTGCAGGGATGTGCATAAAACCCAATGGTAATACAAAATCAAGTTGAACCCGGAGGATCCAAATTTAATGAATAGAGTAATGACAGGACATTCTTATTGTAAAGTTTACCTGCTTCGAATAGGTGCCAGTGAGTCCTGGCAATGTGATGCATGCAGGGTTCCTGAACATGCCCAAAATATAGCCAAATAAGAACCATTTATCCCACACTTTTTCCCCATCACAACAAGCCTTAAATCCATTGAGGAAGTGCTACGCAAGAATTTAATTCGCTTCATCAAAGAGGCGAAAATACATCTGTGATCCTGATCCTTATCCCATCGAAACCTGTGATATTAGTTTAAGTTTATAGCTCTTTTTGGATCACCCACTAATTTTTAATGCCACACCCCTTTTTGCCCCCTTCTCTAATATTACTTTTCTTCAGCAACCTTGAAAGTGCCTAGAAGAGTTGGGGAAACTATCTTTTGTAACCTGGAAGCTGTTCAATTTCCTGAAAATTGTCGGCGACGGTTTGCAGTTTTCGGAATATTGATATCTCTCAACTGGGAGATCATATTTTTTCAATTTTTTGTATTACAAAAGTACCGTGTACTATCGAGGAGACATTCTATGTACCTGGAGTACGGTCGATTTTTATATTACATATTTGCAGACCTCAAGGAGCTTAGGATCGCTTAGTGCGGAAAGTATGACATTGTCCACCGAGAGGTAAGGCAGGGATGACTATAGTTTCGGATCTCGCCGCTGATCTTCATCAGTTCCCTTAGTTTTTTGTTGGGATATTCTCCCCAGAAACTATTGTGACAATTCGAAGTTCTTACGTTACCAGCGATACGACCCCAGTGAGAAATTCGTTTCGTTGACGCCAAGATGGTTAACAAGGCATTGGCAGAACAATTGCAATACATTTTATATAACATCATCTTTAACTTCCTCCAAGCTGTAGTTCTCAAGTTCCACAGTTGGTCCGAGTCTACTGGACGTCTTGCACGTTGATACCATCAGTTTTGTCTTCTCGCCGTTTACCGCTCTCAATGTTCGACCCATTATGTCGATATCATCGGTGTAGGCCAGTAACATGTGTTGTTTGGTGTACAGAGTGCCATTTCTGTTCACCTTTGTCTCTCTTATGACCTTTTCCAGCAGGATGTTAAAAATATCACACCACAAACTGTCATCTTGTCCGAATCCTCGTCCGGTATTGAAGGCCTCCGAGAAATCCTTTCCGACTTTAACTGCTGGCCAGTTAAAGTTATCGTGCATATCCGTATCATTTTGCAGGAATGCCAAACGCAGACATGGCTTTATAAACCTCTGAACGGATAGGGCTGTCGAATGCGGCTTTATAGTCGACGAATAGGTGGAATGTGTCGATGGGATCTCTGGCCCAAATATGGTTGTGTTAAAATAAGAACCTGTATCAAATATTTACAGTCAGGATGTTTTCGAATAAACCGGAGTGTCACTTGGGTTTGAACATGAACAAAAAATGGACCCGTACCGTTATGTGTGATATATCAAATATATCCCAGTAGTATTACAAATGTATGTATGTAAATTAATTCTATCATAAAAAATTGAGAATCCTGTTGAGAAGCCAACAGACAGACGGAGGTACATGGCTAAATCGTCATAAATTTCATACAGATGAAGAATATATATGTTTTTGGCCTCCGAAGATAATCTCGAGGATATTGAACATATTTTTCTCAAAATCTCGGGCTGTAAGAGTCACATAGACGACGCTCTATTTTCAAAAGTTATTTACAACGAATTCCGTTACTAAAAAGGCCATAAAAAGCCATTGGCAAACAGGTGGTCAATAGCATTAATCAAGGACAGGGTAAACATAAAAATCGCCTTTGCAATTTATTCCATAAATTGTATGGTTCCATTTCAGGGTTATTACTTTATTATACCCTTATAAAATTCCTTCCCTATATTCTACCTGTTACACAAATTCCCTCACTATCTCCCTTATTGCTACCTGTCAAATACCAAAGCAACTCAATACAATGTGGCAATACTGTTGTTACTTGTCGACCAATGCGATTTGGGTGGTCCATTCTCATCAGTTCGTTGCTCTCTCGCTCTCATGGCGGCATCTCGCTGTCTACCGTCTGTCATTCAGTTCGTTTCATTTCAGTTGTGCGGTAGTGTTTCGTAGCGTTTGTTTATTTCTTCCACTTCTTCCCCTCTATGTGTTTTGTTGTTAAATTTGGAGTTTAGTTTATTAAACAAAATTTAAAGAATTATTAAATAAATATTGAAAGATATTAAAAGAAAATAATATATTAATTTCTAAAGAGTGAATAAATTGTGTGTTGAAAAAGAAAGGAGAAAAAAAACAAAGAGAAAACTTCCAAGCCATACAATCTGTGAGGTTTGGCCAAAAGTATTTAATGCAACAACAACAAAAAAAGTAGCCGAAAAAGCAACAAATCAACAACAACTGAAAGAAAAAATATAAACAAAATCCGGTGCCATGGAATTATAACAACAATTTGGAATAATTTAATGCAAATAACATTAAAGAATTAAACAAAAGCAAGAAAAATGTGTTAAATTTTTTAAAGTGACTCTACCAGTTTATTTTAGTGGCCTGACTGGCCATTTAGCCGACTTTTTGGTCGCTTTTTTATTTTGTGGATCTTTTTTTCGTGTTGTCTGTTCTTCCAAGCGACCAGAAAGAAAACACAACAGCAGGCAGGCATCAGCTATACCCCCGCCGGTAACCACATTGTCTTCATCTCTGTCTCTGGTCTAGACAAAATGAGTCCCACCAGCAAAAAGTAAGTTCTTGGAATAATTGTGTTGTTGCTATTTTTGTTTAATGTCTTCTTTATTTTTGGTGTATTTTTATTGTCTTTGCCGCTTCTCCTCATCATCCTCCTGATTTTGATGGACGAGCTACAGCAAAAGGGGTAGAAAGCGCACATCAACAACTGGGTGTGAAATTTAATAAAAAAAAATGGGAATTTTAATGCATCTTCCCTGCAAGAGTAGAGAGGGAGGAGGGATGTAGGGATCGGATCATATTACTTAATGTGTCTGTCAGCCAGCCATCCATTCCATCAATATTGATTCGCCTTGTGCATTGCATACAAATTATGTTACTTAAATGCAGATCGACATCTTTGAAGAATTAAATTTTGATCGCATAGACAGGGGTGATCGGCATAAAAATTCCTCATTAAGGGTTTACATACCATCAACACCTCACCTCGGTGTGCGTGCGTGCCATCTTGGAAGATCGATGGCCTTATTTTTTTGAAAACAATGAACCAAAATATTTTTCGTTCACACATTATGGGATTTGCTGGCTGAATTATTGAACTTTGGTGTAATGCTTTGATGCGCTTAAATTTTATGTGATGATGCAGGTCATTAAACTTGGAATATAATGGGGTGATGGGGTATATGATGTCCCAGTTATCACATTGAAAGAAATAAAAGGAAATCTATTTTATGCAACGGAAGTCTTCTAAGGCCTATTCAGAGTCTTTCATGTCTAGAAGACCTATAGAAAATATTATAGAACACCTGCAAAAGGTCTATTAGGTATAGGAGACCTATAGACGATCTTCTGCATACATTAGACTTTTAAAAGGTCCTCTATGTATAGAAAATCTATAGAGAGTCATCTTTATATAGAAGACCTGTAAAAGATATTCTATGCATAGATGACATATAAAGGGGTTTTATATATAAAAAACCTATCGAAGACCTTCGAAGTATAGAAGACCTCTTTTTTCAAGTCCTACAAAAGGCGTGTATTTTTTTAAAAAAATTTTTTAAGGTCCAACTAAGGAATGGATTTTTAAAGAACAAGGCGTGGATTTTTTAAAGAATATTTTTAGGGTGTCAAGGTTCCAACAAAGGCATGGATTTTTTAAAGAATATTTTTTAGGGTGTCAAAGGCATGGATTTTTTAAAGAATATTTTTAGGGTGTCAAGGTTCCAACAAAGGCGTGGATTTTCTAAAGAATATTTTTTAGGGTTTCAAGGGTCCAACAAAGGCGTGGATTTTTTAAAGAATATTTTTTATGGTGTCAAGGGTCCAACAAAGGCGTGGATTTTTTTAAAGAATATTTTTTAGGGTGTCAAGGGTCCAACAAAGGCGTGGATTTTTTAAAGAATATTTTTAGGGTGTCAAGGGTCCAACAATGGCGTGGATTTTTTAAAGAATATTTTTTAGGGTGTCAAGGGTCCAACAAAGGCGTGGATTTTTTAAAGAATATTTTTTAGGGTGTCAAGGGTCCAACAAAGGCGTGGATTTTTTAAAGAATATTTTTTAGGGTGTCAAGGGTCCAACAAAGGCGTGGATTTTTTAAAGAATATTTTTTAGGGTGTCAAGGGTCCAACAAAGGCGTGGATTTTTTAAAGAATATTTTTTAGGGTGTCAAGGGTCCAACAAAGGCGTGGATTTTTTTTAAAGAATATTTTTTAGGGTGTCAAGGGTCCAACAAAGGCGTGGATTTTTTTAAAGAATATTTTTAGGGTGTCAAGGGTCCAACAAAGACGTGGATTTTTTAAAGAATATTTTTTAGGGTGTCAAGGGTCCAACAAAGGCGTGGATTTTTTAAAGAATATTTTTTAGGGTGTAAAGGATCCAACAAAGGCGTGGATTTTTTTTAAAGAATATTTTTAGGGTGTCAAGGGTCCAACAAAGGCGTGGATTTTTTTAAAGAATATTTTTTAGGGTGTCAAGGGTCTAACAAAGGCGTGGATTTTTTAAAAAACATTTTTTAGGGTGTCAAGGGTCCAACAAAGGCGTGGATTTTTTTTAAAGAATATTTTTTAGGGTGTCAAGGGACCAACAAAGGCATGGATTTTTTAAAGAATATTTTTAGGGTGTCAAGGGTCCAACAAAGGCGTGGATTTTTTAAAAAACATTTTTTAGGGTGTCAAGGGTCCAACAAAGGCGTGGATTTTTTAAAAAATATTTTTTAGGGTGTCAAGGGTCCAACAAAGGCGTGGATTTTCTAAAGAATATTTTTTAGGGTGTCAAGGGTCCAACAAAGGCGTGGATTTTTTAAAGAATATTTTTTATGGTGTCAAGGGTCCAACAAAGGCGTGGATTTTTTTAAAGAATATTTTTTAGGGTGTCAAGGGTCCATCGTGGATTTTTTAAAGAATATTTTTTAGGGTGTCAAAGGCATGGATTTTTTAAAGAATATTTTTTAGGGTGTCAAGGGTCCAACAAAGGCGTGGATTTTTTAAAGAATATTTTTTAGGGTGTCAAGGGTCCATCAAAGGCGTGGATTTTTTAAAGAATATTTTTTAGGGTGTCAAGGGTCCAACAAAGGCGTGGATTTTTTAAAGAATATTTTTTAGGGTGTCAAGGGTCCAACAAAGGCGTGGATTTTTTAAAGAATATTTTTTAGTGTGTCAAGGGTCCAACAAAGGCGTGGATTTTTTAAAGAATATTTTTTAGGGTGTCAAGGGTCCAACAAAGGCGTGGATTTTTTAAAGAATATTTTTTAGGGTGTCAAGGGTCCATCAAAGGCGTGGATTTTTTAAAGAATATTTTTTAGGGTGTCAAGGATCCAACAAAGGCGTGGATTTTTTTAAAGAATATTTTTTAGGGTGTCAAGGGTCCAACAAAGGCGTGGATTTTTTAAAGAATATTTTTTAGGGTGTCAAGGGTCCAACAAAGGCGTGGATTTTTTAAAGAATATTTTTTAGGGTGTCAAGGGTCCAACAAAGGCGTGGATTTTTTAAAGAATATTTTTTAGGGTGTCAAGGGTTCAACAAAGGCGTGGATTTTTTAAAGAATATTTTTTAGGGTGTCAAGGGTCCAACAAAGGCGTGGATTTTTTAAAGAATATTTTTTAGGGTGTCAAGGGTCCAACAAAGGCGTGGATTTTTTAAAGAATATTTTTTAGGGTGTCAAGGGTCCAACAAAGGCGTGGATTTTTTAAAGAATATTTTTTAGGGTGTCAAGGGTCCAACAAAGGCGTGGATTTTTTAAAGAATATTTTTTAGGGTGTCAAGGGTCCAACAAAGGCGTGGATTTTTTAAAGAATATTTTATGAAAATATAACTATTTTTCCAAAGACCACATAAGGAATTGATTTTTTTTTTCAATCCTAAAAAAAGGCGTTTTTTAATTATCAAATTTTGTTAATAATTCAATTTATAATTTTAAATAATTTTTCTCTTTTTTATCATTTTAGAAAACATAAAAATCCCGCCCCTATATCCCGAAGTCACCCGCCCATCATACTCTCCACACTATGCTCTATATTACTATTAAATTTGACACCTCTAACACAAGCTAACCTAACTGCCGCAACATCCCTACTGGCTGTGGCCACAGCTCCCAATCTGATAGGCCACACTGGTAGCGGAGCAAGCCTGACCTCCACCAACAACACCCGTCACATACAAATACCCTTGGAACCGATAAATGGCACCAGCAATTTCCGTATCTATGGCGGTAAAAAAGGCAAAGAGGATAAACATTGGTTGGATGGACGTGGTCTGAGTATGCAACATGTCCAGTGTGTACGCAAAGGAAATTGTGAAAAATTACAATTTTCAACATGTCTGGGTGTTAAGCTGCCATACAGCTATACGAGTTTAGATTTAACCATATCACATAGTCAAAAGGATATACAGGAGAGGCTGAAGAATATGATGGCGTTGAAGCATGTGCCCAAATGTTGGGCTGTGATACAGGTGAGTGGGGAATAACACATAGAAAAAATATTTCCTTAATTTAATTTCTTTTTCCCTCTCCCAATAGCCCTTTATATGTGCAGTGCTTGCCCCGAAATGTGAAAACATCAATGGCGAAGATATGGTCTATTTGCCCTCTCTGGAAATGTGCCGCCTCACATTGGAGCCATGTCGCATTCTCTACAACACCTCCTATTTTCCCGAATATTTGAAATGTAATGAAACCCATTTTCCATCGAAATGTAATAACGATGTACGTGAAATGAAATTTAATTTAACGGGACAATGTTTGGATCCTTTGGTGCCAGCGGAATCAAGTGTTAGTTATCATCCCGGTGTTGAAGGATGTGGGGTGAGATGTAAAGACCCGCTGTATACGGATGGAGAACATCGACAAATACAAAAGCTGATTGGATGGGGTGCCACATTATGTTTCCTATGCAATCTCTTTGTCGTGGCCACATTTATGATCGATTGGGAAAATGCTAGCAAATATCCGGCACTGATTGTTTTCTACATTAATATGTGCTTCATGATTGCTTGTTTGGGGTAAGATGAACATATTTTTGTTTAGAATTTAAATGAAGAAGAAACGGATACTGGTACTGTTGAGACCCCCGTCGATAATATGGACGATTCATCAGTAGCTGTAACTGCTAGGCAGGTCGATGCCAAGGAGATTTTTAAAATGTACCGGATAGCAGTTTTGCAACCGGTTCATATGCGGGACAAAAAAATATAAATTTATCCGGAAGTTCTCCAGAAACTATCCGAAAGATATTGAGAGGGACTTCTTGATTGAAAGGATCCCCCGACCCAGTACTAAGACCACCACGCCGGTAGTCCCTTCAAAGAAGGAGAAACATGTCGGGAGTTCTAGTACACCTAGGAAGCTGATGCCTGAGACTTCTAAGCCCTCAGCACGCCCCAAGGGTAAATTGCCAAAGCCGATACCCAAGGCTGTGACAATTGGGCAGTTACTAGTTTATGCGCCGAAGGCAGCGAGCGCGAAGCAGGTGCCTGCGTTGACTGTTTATCTCTGCGGCGGTTGCAACCCCGGTTGCCAAATCTCGACCCACAGCTGTCAAGAGAATGATGTCCTCGGAGGAACAACAACCTGCTGCTAAGAGACCCACGCAGTCGTCGGCTGCACAAAGCTCTGCTTCGTTTGCGTCGGTAGTAGCGTCGAAGAAGAAACCTACCAAGAGCAGTGAGTGAATGGTGGAAGCCAAACACTCTGTCTCGAAGCAGGTAGCCCAGAAACCTACAACGGCGCTCAGCGACTCTGCTGCTCCACAAGAGGTTCCGATTTATCTGCGAGTAGCAATTATGGACCGAGCTGACCTTGACGGGATCATCAGCGAGGATAAATGGTTGCTTGTCAACAGCTATCTGAAGGACCTCTTCCTATCCGACGAGATTGATCGACAGAGCCTACGGTTTGGCCAGACCTCCTTATACAAAGCAGTCAAGGTTGTTAATTGTCGCACTAAGGAGACTGTGGACTTCCTTAAGAAGACTATTAACAACCTGGACCCTCTTGTTAATTGTTAAAGAATATTTTTCAGGGTGTATAATAGGCCTAGGATTTTTAAAGAATATTTTGTAGGGTCTAAAATTGGATGAGATTTTTAAAAAATATTTTAAGGGTCTATAAAGACCTAGGATTTCTAAGACTGGCCTGGCATTTTTAAAGAATATTTTTTTCAGGGTCTAAAATTGGCCTTGGATTTTTAAAGAATACTTTTCTGGATCTCAGAATCCTCTTAATATCCAAAATACTAATCCATCCCTTTTCTCTCTCCCATCTTCCATTTAAGCTGGCTCGCCCAATTCACCCCAGGATCCCGCGAGGACATTGTCTGCCGTAAGGATGGCACATTGCGACATTCTGAACCCACTGCCGGGGAAAATCTCTCCTGTGTTGTAGTCTTTGTTATTGTCTATTACTTCCTCATAGCAGCTATGGTATGGTTTGTCTTTCTCACCTATGCCTGGCATTTGAGAGCCGTGGGTAACGTTCAAGATCGCATCGATAAAAAAGGATCCTATTTCCATTTAATTGCCTGGTCTCTACCCTTGGTGTTGACCATTACCACCTTGGCTCTCAGCGAAGTGGATGGCAACAGCATTGTGGGTATTTGTTTTGTCGGATATCGTAATCATCCAATACGTTCGGGATTGTTGTTGGGTCCCCTTTGTGGAGTGATTTTGGTTGGTGGATATTTCATCATACGTGGCATGATCATGCTGTTTGGTTTGAAACATTTTGCCAATGACATCAAATCGACATCGGCCAGTAATAAAATCCATTTGATTATTGTAAGGATGAGTGTGTGTGCGCTGTTTACGTTGCTGTTTATTTTGGTCTCCATTGCGTGTCATGTGAATGAGTTCCGGAACTCGATGGATTGGGCGGAAAGTTTGAGGGAGTATGTGAAGTGAGTAGAGAATTCAGATTCAGATTTATATAGATATATTAATTCCGATTTTTCTTGCCCTTTTTAGTTGCACAATCTTCGGTCGTTTCAATAATGAGTACGTTCAATGCAAATTGGCCCAGAGACCCAGTGTTTCGGTATTGCAATTACATTTGCTGTGCCTCTTTGGTGCGGGCATTGTCATGTCCACTTGGTGTTGGACACCCAGCTCTCTGGAAACCTGGAAGCGATATATCAGAAAAAAGTGCGGGAAAGATGTGGCCGAGGAGGTGAAAATGCCCAAACACAAAGTCATTGCCCAGACATGGGCTAAACGTAAAGAATTCGAAGATAAGGGGAGGCTCTCTATAACCCTATGCAATACCCATACAGATCCGGTAGGTTTAAATTTTGATGTCAACGATTTAAATTCCTCGGAAACAAATGACATTAGCTCTACATGGGCAAATTATCTACCACAGTTTGTAAAAAGAAGAATGGCCCTGACGGGAGCCACTGCTGCCGCCGGCAATCATCATCATGGAGGTCCATCAGTGGGTGGGCATCATCATAATCGTAAGAACTCCTTAGATTCGGAAATAAGTTTTAGTGTACGTCATGTTTCGGTGGAATCAAGACGTAACTCTGTCGATTCTCAGGTCTCGGTGAAGATTCAAGAAATGAAAACCAAGGTGGCGAGATCACGGGGCGGAAGACATCATCATGGGAAACACTCCACAGCTGGTAAACGTTATCAAAAGGCCAGAGATTTTAATGCCACGGGCAGGAGACATAATGGAGGAAGGCGAGAAAGTAGTACCTCCATCGAGTCACAAATTATTGCCCTGCAAAAAACCACCTATCCCAATTCTCATCACAAATTGGGGTTGTTTGCCCAAAGTACCAAAAATCATGGAGGTGGAAAGAGAAGATCTGGTCACAATACCCTCGATCCAAATGATATAACGGAATTTTTGGCCCGTAATGGTCAATTGATTTTGCCATTTTTACAAAATCAGGGTATGACCACATCCTCCGATGAAGATGAAAATTCCAAGGGGTCGCTAAAGATACAGGGATCGCGTTTAGATGTGGTGCTCAAACAAGATTTAAGTGATGATAATTCCGATGAAGATTACGCCCTGCATAATCACAATGGGCCACAAATTGAGGAGATACACGATCACGATGATGAGGAGGACGAGGAGGATAACAATCTCCATGGAAGCAATAAAACCAAACGCCATTCCTCAGCCTATGAGGAATTGCTGAAGCAGACACAAAAGTCACATGATTCCAATCACAACAACCCCACCCACAAACATTCTCGAAACTCCACACAACAATCGAGGCACTCCCGCAAATCCCAAGCCCTTAACAATTCCCAACACAAACGTTCCCTTAAGCGTAATCAAAACGGCACAACAACGACGACGAATTCAAATCGTCGCAAATCAACCAATTCGAAAATTTTCGAAATGGATTCCCTCAACACTTCGGATTTAAATCTGCAATTAAAACGTGAGCTAACATTCGGCAGTCATCGTGGTGATGATGACGACGATGATACGGCCAGTGATGATGATTCATTTTCCTCTGTCGATTTGGATTTACCGCTAAATGTTTTCCTACAAAATTCCCTATCGGGTCAGAGTAAAACTAGCTGTGATGTTGGCATTCAGGCTGATGTTTTTGATATATCCAATCGTACATCGGGCGATGAAGATGATTTGAAAAAGTGCCTAAGGCAGTTGAATCACAATAACAATAATAATCATCATCAGCAGCAACATCAGAGGAGGAGGACACGTTACGAAGAGGATGCCTATGAAATGCAATCACTGGTGGATAAACATAAAAATACACCGCTCATTATGAGCGAGGCGGAGAAATTGAAAATGTTGCTGTTACCCTCGAAGTAAAGGGAGGGAGGTGAGGGGAAAGGAAATTAATGGCCTATAGCAATTTGTTGTGAATCAAATCGAAGGAAATTAAGTGATTTAGAAATCGATTTTTTTTAGAAAGATAGGCGAGGTTTTGGTTAAAAAGAGAGATAGGGAAAGAGTAGAAGACCCAGTGTTTCGGTATTATAATTACATTTGTTGTTGTAGCAGCCCTTTTATTTTTACACAATCGGCTGAGGTGACAGACGTTGGCCGAGAAAGATTCGGGTCGATTCGGAAACGATTAGATTTGTTGTGAGATTGTCATGCCCACTTGGTGTTGGACAACCCAACTCTTTGGAAACCTGGAAACGTTATATTAGAAAAAATTTAAAAAATCCACGCCTTTTTTAACCTTAGACAAAAAAATATTTTGATGAAATCAAAAGGATTTCTTTTTAAAAATCAAAGAATTCGTCAGAAAGCGCTACGAGACATTCTTATAGAAGGCAAGGCGTTCTCATAGAAGACCTATAAAACATCAGATATCAGATCAGAAGCGCATTCTTATAAAAGGTCAAAGGAAGTTCTTATAGGGGATCAAAAAAGACTTCTGATAGCAGACCAAAAGGATCTCTGATAGCATACCTGGAGATCTTCATATAGAAGAACAGAATATTTTTAACATGAAATCCTAATGACTTCTAAGAGGCGAAGGACTTCAAAATCAAAAGGATTTCTAAATGAATATCAAAAAGTCAATTTAAAGATCCTTCAAAGAAGAAACATTAGTCAGAAAGGGCTAGAAGATCTCCTTATAGCAGGCAAAGCGTTCTTATAGGAGACCGGAAAGATTTCAAATAGCAGATCAGAAGCGCATTCTTATAAATTATCAAAAAATGTTCTTATGGAGACCAAAAAATACTTCTGATAGCAGACCAGAAGGGTCCATGGTAGAGGACCTGAAGGTCTTCTTATAGAAGAGCAGGATATTTCTTAAGAGGAAATCAGAATGACTTCTAGGAAGAGAAGGACTTCTAAAGGCAAATGAAATGATTTCTGAAAAAAGTTCAGAGATTCCTTTTAAAGACCTTTCAAAGAATAAAAACTCGTTGGAAGGGACCAGAAGGTAAGGTCTTCTTACAGAATATCTAGCTGTAGAAGATCAGAAGGCTTTCTTTCTTTTTCAAGAAAATTTTCTTGGAGGAAATCAAAATATATTTTAGAGAACTGTAGATGATTTTCGTGAAAAAGAACATATGCGAAAAAATTAGAAAACACCAAAAAAGCGCCACTAATAGAGGACCTAACAGTCTTCATTTAGAAGACGTTTTATCGATAACGAGCAAGCATTCTTAGAAGAGATCAGTGGGACTTCAAAAATAAGATAAGGAATTCCTGTCAGAGGTTATTTTATAGAAGAAGACTAGAAAATCTTAAAAGTTGGTTTTCCTCTAGGAGATCAGGTGTTTTTCTTACGGAAGACAAGTAGATATTCATAGAGGATATTATGAGTAATTTTAGAGATTTTAAGAAGACAAGAAGAATATCTCATAGTCCACCTGAAAATCTCTTTAGAGGAATCAGAATGTATTTTAGAAAAGACCAGAATGCCAAAAAGATCTAATCGATGACAAGAAGTTATTTTTTTTGAAAATGCCAGGAAATATATATATATATAATAGTTGATGCCAGAGGATCTCCTAAGCCCGAAATGACTCCTACATAAAGATATAGAAGAACGAAATGACGTAGTCTTCTAATAGAATTATTGGTGGGAACTATTCCTCTAGTTCACGTTAAGGTCCATCCACTTATTCAAAGTCGTGGTCTTCTAAAAGTATACCTTTCTTCTTGTCATGTTCAAGCCCAGTTTCTGAGACACCGTCCATTTGGAGAGTAGCGTATGTATTTGACCGTTTTTCAGCCGATCATAAATGTCAACCATCGAATACCCTGATCGCATTATCGTGCACAAACCATATCAACAGACTATCGAAGATGACCCATAACTTTTTGGGACTTTTTATATGCTTAGTCGCAAATTTCCTGACACCATTATCGTCCAATCGACATCCCTTGACACGTACATTTTTTAGAGTCTAACGAAGTAGATCCTGAATTCTTAGGTTTATTAAAATCAGTTTCTTGGAATATTTGAATCAGTTTCTTCTCTGAAATCTAAGAGGAGACTATTTAACAGAGGATTTCTCCTTATAGGCATAAATAGATGTAAAGTAGATTCCGACCCCTATAGTCTCAGTTTAATTAAAAGTCGATATTAGTGAATCCTCGCTATTAGAAAACAGCATCTCACGTGGATAATATTTAACAGCGGATTTCTTTAAATGAACTGCCGACCTCTCGCAAAGGTAGAGGTTAATTAGATAAGGTACAAAAAATATTTTTTAATAAATCTACGCCTGTGGAAGATCATAAAAAATATTTTTTAATAAATCTACGCCTGTGGAAGATCATAAAAAATATTTTTTAATAAATCTACGCCTGTGGAAGATCATAAAAAATATTTTTTAATAAATCCAACGCCTGTGCACCTTGAACCTAGGACCTAGAAGTAAAGTAAGTTCCAGGAGCTATTCGGTTTACAGTTTCTGATATCTTCTAAGAAGTTAACTTAAGTAGTATCCTAAAAGTATCGAAATGTGGAAATCTTTCAAAGAGTCGCGATATTCTTTCACATGTACAGTTCTGCTCATTCTGTCAGACATTTTCCTGAAAATTATTTTTTCTTTCATTTTGTGTGTCTGAATTTTACTACCAAAAAACCTCGATATTTGGGAAATATTTTTTCAATTTTTACTGAATTTCTTTGGATTTGATTCACACCGAAGTAGGCCATTAAGGTTTCAATTTTATTTATATTAGGCAATTTTATTTGCACGAAATTCTCCGTTCCCTTATGAGAGAAAGAGGTGATGGTTTACCATTCACCTCTCTTCTTCCCACACAGATGAACTATAGAATTGCGACAATTCAAATTGCCTAACCGAAATTCATTTTTTTTTGTATATTTTTCCTCAATGAGGAAATGTTTTCATTTAAACAAGCAGCTTTTGAAAACAAAATGTTTTTATAAGTATTTTAAAAAAATACTCAATATTTTAAGAACTATTATAAATTAAGAAAAAGAAATGTAAATTACATATTAAGATAAAAAGAACTGTAAAGCTTTATATAAAAAAAACGAAACATAATTATATATATAAACAAAAGAAGAATCAACAGCTACAAAAATTTGGTTGTCAAGGTCTTCCGAACAAAAAACGACACAATTACTTTTTGAAAAAGAGCTTCCAATGCAAAACAAACAAACAAAAAATAGAAAATATAAAATTATTGTAATGATATATTCAGTGAGAAGCGGATTGGAGGAAATCAAGGAATGCCAATATCAACAAATTACAGGATTTGTTAAAAAAAATCTCGAACTGAATACAGTTCAACGAATTTGAACTATACCTTGATTTTCTTCAATTCGTATCATGATCACAAAAATGCTTACAAACGAAACCCCCCATAAATTATGTCTGAAATTGTATATTTTTTAATAGACCCCACCTCAAAGTATTATTATAAAAAAAAAAACTTGTCCCGAATAATCATGAATCTCTAAAGACTGCATTTTACTCTTATTACAAAATACAACAACCACCAAAATAATGCTAATAATCAAATTACTTATACACTTCAACTCCGATTATTGTCTATAAAATAGTACATAAGTTTTTTTTGTGCTATTAAAAATTTACTTTACTTAATTTTTTGTTGTATACTTATTTTATAAAAATGAGAGGAAAAGTAAATATGTACCCTTTAATATTATATGTAGTTAATTAAGATTTTTATACATATGTATATTGTATAGATATATGCATTTTCATTACAATTTAAAATTGTATTTTTTTATATATAGCGCCTGTGCCTTATAAGATGAAAAAAAAAAATAAAAAAAAATATGAAGAATATACACATAAATGTTTATTAATTATTTAATTAATTATTATATTAAACTAGCATATACCCGCTACTTCGTTAGCGAATGTGGGAAGTATTTAAAATCCAATACCGACAATTATTAACGTTGTAGAACCATTTAGTACTTATTTTCTATTATAATATAATATCTCAATCCTACACACCAATTCCGATTTTTTACCCTTTGTACCCTTATAAAACTTTTTTTTTGAAAAAGTTTTTAAATATAGGTTAACAATCATTAGTACGAATTTCCAACACTTCCTACTACGTACACCAAAACCTTAATTCCAAATTTCAGAATTCTATCGGTTCACCTAAATCCAATTTGTATAACATTTAGTATCACTTAGAACACATAAGTACAAATTTCCATTATTACCTACATCATGAAATTCAATGGAAATCTTATTACTCAATTTCAGGATTCGAGTTCTATCGGTTCACTATTAATCCAAATTTTACCAAATTTAGTGCCATTTAGTACACATTAGTAGACATTTCGAAAATTTCCTACATACCCCAATCCAAAACGCCAACAGTGATCCTTACCACCATTTGGTACCATTTAGTACGAATGACCTTAACTCCAAATTTGAGGATCCCAGCTCTATCAGTTCAACCAAAATTCAAATTGTAACAAATTTAGTACCCATAAGTATGAATTTAAAAAAATATATCCATACCCCAGTCTTACACTCCAACATTAACCATATTTCAGTGCTCCAGCTCCATCGGTACACCCAAATCCACATTTGGTACACATTAATACGAATATCCAAAACTTTCTACAAAACCCAATCCTACACCACAACAGTGATCCTAACAAATTTTCAATTTTCAAATTTCAGGATTCCAGCTCTATGGGTTCACCTAAATCCAAATTTGGTACCATTAAGTACACATTAGTACGAATTTCCAAAACTTTCTACAAAGTCCAATCCTTCATCCAAACAATGATTCTAACTCTAAATTTCAGGATCCCCGCTCTATCAGTTCACCCAAAATTCAAATTGTACCAATGTTAGTACCATTTAGTATCC